ACTTCGTCCAACTACGTCTCATAGCCAAAAACACGTAGTATATCTTTTGTTATTAACTACATAATGAGAAAGAAGCCTTTAATGGGGTAGAAAATGTACATGTTTGCTTACCTGGGTTTAAAGGGAATTAGCCATTTCTCCTCAACGTTGATAATAAACTAATTTCTTTCTGTATGAAACATCAAACAGACACGGTTGCTCCTGAGTCCTGTCAAACCTCCACTAGTTTTTCCTCCATTTCGTGGGTCCAAATAAACCAAAAAAGATCGCTTTTAACTTCTCCCCCAGCCTCCCGCTGGCCTGCAGCAGGTATACACACACGCACACACAAGTGAAAGCTGCTCTCTCATTGGCTGTAGGCGATCGCCGATGTTATTTTCAGTCAAAACTCAATTCACACGGCATGATTTGAATCGCCGACAGCTCCAGATATTTAGCATTTAGCTCACAGGTATCGGCGACTCATCGGCGATTCTCTCAGATCGCGTCTTTGAAAGTTCATACTGTGTGATTGTCACTCACGTGCACGAGCAGCGATTTGCCTGTGATTTCAGGCATTTGTCGGCGACTTCTCAAAACCTGTCGGCGAGCCAAAATCGGGGCTAAAATCACTCAGTCTGAACTAGGCATTAATCAGAGTATTGTCTTAATCATATTTAAATCACATTATTGGTGTCCATGTTAACGAACGTAGTTGTTTGGAAAAAGTAGTCAGCATGTCAAGTGTTCAAATCACTCAGTGGCCTTTACTTTTCATTTAATATACAAAAAGCAGACTAGTATTGTCAACAAGCAGGCCGTTACCTAATATTTCATTAAACCTAATATCCGATCCAGAGATGATGTGACTCAGTGCAAACACAGTCATCATCCAAACCCACAATGCACCACAATAATCTTGTTTTTGTTTTGGCAGGAACAAGTTTTCCTCTCACTCTCTTCCTTCATCTAATGACGCCGTTTCTCTCAGAGTGTCATTTCTCAACGTCTGACAGCCTGCCAGAGAGCTTGTTAAACTGTCTGTGTGTGTGTGTGTGTGTGTGTGTGTGTGTGTGTGTGTGTGTGTGTGTGTGTGTGTGTGTGTGTGTGTGTGTGTTTTAAACTTGATATAATAATTCAGGGTTCTCCCTTTATTTCCAGCTTTAACAGTGTGCAATTTGTGAATGTTGGTCCAAGATGTGCAGTTTTGGTTTTTGGGCGCTTGTAAGGTAATCGCTCTTTTGTGTGCACTACTCCATTGTGGATCGTAAAAACATTTGGAGCCGCATCAAGCACACCCAAGAGCGAAAAAGGAGTAAAAATAAGGCAGACGTGTTCTGTTTCTAAGCAGAATTGAGAAATTTGTTTTGCGTATAGTAAAAAATAAAACAGCAGATGCAAGAATAGTCTTTGAGTTTTGGATAAGTTTACTTGGGAAAGCCCACATTGGCTATCTCTGTTCAAAGTTTCAACAAAGACTGTACATTTTAGGGAGATAGATTGGAGTAACTTACAATTAGTGATGCATATTGGAAGAAACTAGCATTGCGATATTTCTAACCCAGGCTCATTGCGGATTTGTACCCAGGTCTACATTTCTGGGGACAACAAAATTCATAACCTTAAGGCCCGTGCACACCGGTCAACTTTTTGCTCAACGTCAACAGGGCGCCAATGTGATCGTGCACACCAACGCGCAAAACGGCAGGCGTAAAAGCAACATTTTTTAAGAAACGCCTTATGCTCAATTTTTTTCTTTTGATGTGCTGCGTCAAAACCTTTTCCAACAATCAGATTGGCACTTTTGTTCACGTGCATGAAGCTGCTGAAGTTATAGTAAACAGAACTTGGAGCCGCTCAATTGCAAAACTGTCAATGCGAGTGCCCAGAGATGCCCAAAGGCGAAATGAACGTGGAGCTGCTTATTGCGCTGATGAACAATAATCATTTCTTCATCCCTAGAGCTGGAGCTGCTACTTGAACCATTTATGCTTGTTTGAATCGCCCGTAACTTTAACAACAAGCGTGTCAACTTTCTGTGTTCTACTTCTGTGTTACAAGCCGGGATCAAAAGTTGTGTAGTACCATCTAACGTCAAAGTGTGATTTTGTATACTCTTCTGCTCGAAGGCCAGTGAAAATCACTTGGGTTTAAATTTGGAAAAGCATGTTGGAGAAAAACGCTGAGAATAAACGCAAATAAAAAGCATTTAGTGACAATGTCTGCTGGTAGTTTTTGTTCTTGCAAATACAGCAGAAGGCACTTTATACACTTCAGCCAACCAAGCCAGCTTGCTGTCGACTGATTGACTGAATGACTGACCCACCCACCCCCTTTCCTTAACCCAGGGATGTCCAAACTCAGTCCTGGAGGGTCGGTGTCCTGCAAAGTTTAAAATATAGTGAAAAAAAAATATTCATATTAAAACAGTAAAACGATTAATCTGAAAAGATATAGCAACAAACTGCAATGCAGGGCATAGCTTTTGGCCAAATTTGGGGCTTGTGGCATTAAAGCCCTGAGAGAAGATAGAGTTTATCTCAGAAGACAGAGTGGTAATAATGATATGTTTAAATAGTATAACACATAGGAATTTTAGTGCATACTGGACAAGGGTGCAAGCCAGGTTAACAATCATGATCCAATCGCTCAGGCATCACTGTAATTGATATCACCACATGGGCTCAGTTACATCCAAAAATGCCAGTTAAAACTATACTGTGCCAAAAAAAGCCCTATGTTAACAGTGTCCAGAAGCGCTGTCGACTTCTCTAAGCTCAGAGGCATCTGGGATGGATCATCACACAGTGGAAATGTGCACTGTGGTCAGATGAATCAGCATTTCAGGGTTGTTTTTTTGGTGGGGGAATGGATGCTGTGTGCTCTGGACCAAAAAAGAAAAGGATCATCGCTTACCTCTGTGTTGAGGACTTTCCCGCCGCAATCTGTTTGTCTGGTTAGCTCGACATGTACTTCGGCAGACTTGAGACACAGAGAGGAGCTGACCACGACGTTGACGATGCCCGGGTTTGACTCCAGGGAAGAGTGGTTCCAGAAATAAGATACGACAAAAACAGAATCCAAAAAATAAAGTGAACAAGTGAATAACAGGCTGAGAATGTGGTCAAATCAGAAAAACTTGGTAAAAATCAGACAAGGGCTTTTCTTTTTCTGGACACCTTTTTTTGTAAATTATTGGTTGGGTTTAGCGAAGTAAGCGAGGGAATGGGGGGGAGGGGGTCAATCGGAAAAACTGTTTGAGTTTAGGGAAGGAGGAGGAGGGTGGGTCGGCCACCCAGTCAATTATTCAGCCAGTCGGATAGACGGTCGTTCAACAGCGGCTTCTTGTGGGTTTACGCGAGAACGGCTACGAGAGACGTTTGAGATGCGAAAAAGCGCGAACAGCGGCCTCTTGCGTATTCGAGAAAACAAAAACTGCACAAATACATACCTCCCGGGACGTACTTTGCAGTTTCCAGAAACATCCACGGGACTACGTTTTCAGAATGAGCCTGGGTTGGTTATGGTATGGGGTTGTGTCAGTGCCCTTGACAAAGGTAACTTGCACTTCTGTGATGCACCAATATTGCTGAAAAGTACATCGAGATTTTGTAGCACAATATGCTGCCTTCTTTTGTAGGCTGCAGAGGAAGAGGATACAGGTACTTGACTGGCCTGTCTGCAGTCCCGACCAGTCTCCAATAGAGAATGTGTGCCACATTTTGAAACGCAAAATGCTACGATGAAGACCTGTTGCCCAACTTAAGACCTATTTGCTGGAAGAATGGGTGAAAATTACACCTGAAACACTTCAACATTTGGTGTCTTCAGTCCCTAAACGTCTTTTAAGTGTTGTGAAAAGGAATGGCAACATTACAAAGTGCTAAAGGCTTCACTGTTCCAACCTTTTTTGAAATGTGTTGCAAGAAAATTGGGCTAGGTTTTTATTTAGAAAAATTTAATAAAATCATAAGGAACACCTTCAATAATGTTTGTTGTGTTGTCTGGAATGAAATACAAGTCATAGTAAATTTAGAAATCACTACTTTCCTGCTTTATTGCGTTTTTCGTACTGTCCCATCTTTTTCTGATTTGGGCTTGTTCTTTACTTTATGTTTGATTTATTAAAGGCAACTTTTGTGAGCATAAAAAACTTTCAAAATTAAAGTGAAAGATCAGACCAATCACAAAATACATTAAGTAGATTCTTCCGCGATTAAGGTATACCTTAAACCAGAAGGAGAAACATCAATACAGTTCTGTCAGGCAAACTCATTAAAATGAGAAGGCAGGCTGGGAAACTCTGACCATTTGGAGAGACTCTCAGAGGAAAAGAGACAGATTGAACGATGGAACATGATGGAGACTGTGAAAATGCGAGGAGACGTGTTATCCAACAGGTTTGAGCCGGTTATGTTGTCAGCTGTCATCATTAGAGGCAGTGATACATGAAGGTTTATGGGACTATAGTTAAAGGAAAAATCAGTCATTTTTAGCCTGACCTCTGTCACACAACCTCTCCTCAATCACTGTCCTACAGCCAGAGTAACGATCTTCAGGTTCCGACCATTCAGCTTTTAATTCATCTTCAGCTCATATAAGTGGATTTCTTGTTGTTTCTGTTTGTGCAGGCCCGGTCCAGGAGGAAAATACTGTCAGAAGGCCAGTGTTGAGCATAAAGTGTGTGAGGGTCCGCCGTGTACAAAGGGTCTGCCTACATTTAGAGACCAGCAGTGTCAATCTCATGAGCGACAAGCCAGTAAGAAGAGCCAGATGTGGACAGCGGTCATCGATGATGGTAAGGCTATCTATTAAGTGTTGGAGATGTCATGGCTAAATTCGAGTAGCCTGGTGGCTGATCCTCACTGATTGCACATTGCACCAGTAAGAGCAGAGTGTAAAAGTTTAATTAGCAGAGTAATAGCACAGTTCTGCAAAAAATATTGCAATGAACTCATTATAGGTAACGTATCAGAGTTCAAAAGAGCCAAAAAAGCAAGTCTTTGTGATTCATCAAGAGCCACGGTATCTAGGGTAATGTCAGCATACCACCAAGATGGACGAACCACATCCAATAGGAGTAACTGTGGACCAAAGAGGAAGGTGTCTGAAAAGGGATGTCCGGGTGCTAATACTGATTGTATCTAAAAAACAGAAAACCACAGCTGCCCACCTCACTGCAGAAATAAATGCTCACCTAACTCTCCTGTTTCCACCCAAACTATTCATTGGGAGCTCCACTGGGTCAATATACATGGCCGGGCTACTATACCCATACCTTTGGTCACTCGTGCCAATGCCAAACATTTGTTTTAATGGGGCCATCAGCGAAAAACCTTGAACTGTAGACTATGTGACACATGTAATGTTTTCTGGTGAGTTACGATGTCAAGAAGCATCTATCTATCTATCTATCTATCTATCTATCTATCTATCTATCTATCTATCTGTCTGTCTGTCTGTCTGTCTGTCTGTCTGTCTGTCTGTCTGTCTGTCTGTCTGTCTGTCTGTCCGTCTGTCCGTCCGTCCGTCCGTCCGTCCGTCCATCATCCATCCATCCATCCATCCATCCATCCATCCATCCATCCTATACAGTGTATATCCATCCATCCATCCATCCATCCATCCTATACAGTGTCTATCCATCCATCCATTCTATACAGTGTATATCCACCCGTCCATCCTATACAGTGTCTGTCCATTCATCCATCCATCCATCCATCCATCCATCCATCCATCCATCCTTTACAGTGTATATCCATCCATCCATCCATCCATCCATCCTATACAGTGTCTGTCTGTCTGTCTGTCCATCCATCCATCCATCCATCCATCCATCCATCCATCCTATACAGTGTATATCCATCCATCCATCCCATACAGTGTATATCCATCCATCCATCCATCCATCACCCATCCATCCTATACAGTGTCTGTCTGTCCATCCATCCATCCATCCATCCATCCATCCATCCATCCATCCATCCATCCATCCATCCATCCATCCATCCATCCATCCATCCATCCATCCATTCATCTATCCTTCCGTCCAATAATTCATCCATCCGTCCAATAATTCATCCATCTGTCCTATACAGTGTCTGTCTATCTATCTGTCCATCCATCCATCCATCCATCCATCCATCCATCCATCCATCCTTCCATCCATCCATCCATCCATCCATCCATCCATCCATTTATCCATCCAATACAGTGCCTATCTATCTATCTATCTATCTATCTATCTATCTATCTATCTATCTATCTATCTATCTATCTATCTATCTATCTATCTATCTATCTATCTATCTATCTATCTATCTATCTATCCAATAATTCATCCATCCGTCCTATACAGTGTCTGTCTGTCTATCCATCCATCCATCCATCCATCCATCCATCCATCCATCCATCCATCCATCCAACCATCCATCCATCCATCCATCCATCCTATACAGTGTATATCCATCCATCCATCCATCCATCCAGCCATCCATCCATCCATCCATCCATCCATCCATCCGTCCATCCTATACAGTGTATATCCATCCATCCATCCATCCATTTATCCATCTTTACAGTGTATATCTATCCATCTATCTGTCTGTCCGTCCGTCTAATTATCCATCCATCCATCGTTTGTTATTTCTTTCTATAATGTGTTGTTCCATATGTTCATTATTGGTTTGTTCTTTCTTTCTCATTCATCAGAACTGTAATATTGAAGTATCATTTTTATCGGAAAACAATGTTTTCTATTTCATAACTTTAATACACAATATTTATTTGCTATGATAGCAACTCATTTCCTGAAATCATATTGAAACAAAATAAACAACAACCAGCACAAACCGCGTCCTATGCACCTGAAAGCTCTCCACTTTGTGACGACAGTCTTAACGCAGCAGCACTCGCTGTACTTTCCTGCACAATAGCAGAAACAAACTCTAAACACTCGAGAGTCACTTACCCACATTCACTCCATCAGCACCAAACCCTGCAACTTTCATCTTCGCCAGACCGAAGGAGCACCAGGTTCAGCTCTTAAATCGCAACACGTCACTCAGAAACGAGCTTGTGATCTTCTTAAGTAGACTCTGTAATACTGTGAGTGCACTTCATGTGTTCTGGCGGAAAGTACACACACACTTGTGCCTCCTTCAGCTTCAAAGCTCGATTGACTGATAGAGTGAATGCTATAAAACAACATTTGTGAGGAAATTGGAGAACAAATACGCACATTAAATCTGATGCATGTACATGCGAGATACCATTTAGGTATGCTAAAGTATGTTTACATTCATGTGTATTTATTTCCTAGAAAAGCCGTGTGCTTTGTATTGCACACCCGTCGGCAGTGATTCCCCAGTGTTAGTGGCAGAACGGGTGCTGGACGGGACGCCATGTGGACCTTATGAGAGCGACCTGTGTGTGAACGGAAAATGCCAGGTGTGTTTTGAACAAATATATGTATTTTTTATTTATATGTTTATTTATTGCTTATTATTTTTGTCTTCTAACAACAGCAATGCCTTTTAGCTTACTGTTTCTATTTTATTTTTCTAATGAAAACTCAACCTGACTTTTTAAGTTACTATAGACTGTACATTGTATTCAAATTCCCCTATTTTTTCACTCTGTTATATTGCAGCCATTTGCTAAAGTCATTTAAGTTCATTTCTCATTAATGTCCACACAGCACCCCATAATAACACACAATCAAAAAAACAAAATTGTTGACATTTTTGCAGATTTATTAAAAAAAGAACTGAAATATCACATGGTCATAAGTATTCACACCCTCTGCTCAGTATTTAGTAGAAGCTCCAAGTTTTTCACACCTGGATTTGGGGATCCTCTGCCATTCCTCCTTGCAGATCCTGTCCAGTTCTGTCAGGTTGGATGGTAAACATTGGTGGGCATCCATTTTTAGGTCTCTCCAGAGATGCTCAATTGGGTTTAAGTCAGGGCTTTGGCTTGGCCATTTAAGAACAGTCACAGAATTGTTGTGAAGCCGCTCCTTTATTATTTTAGCTGTGTGCTTAGGGTCAGTTTGTCTTGTTGGAAGGTAAACCTTCGACCCAGTCTGAGGTCCTGAGCACTCTGGAGAAGGCTTTCATCCCTGTACTTAGCCACTTTCATCTTTCCCTCAATTGCAACTAGTTGTCCTGTCCTCGCAGCTGAAAAACACCCCCACAGCATGAGGCTTCCACCACCATGCTTCACAGATGGTGCTGTATTACACAGGTGATGAGCAGGGCATGGTTTTCTCCACAGCTTAGAATTGAGGCCGAAAAGTTCTATCTTTAGTCCCTTTCACACATACAGACCTTTGCGGAAAATTACCGGCAATTTTCCGGAAAGGTTGTATGTGTGAACAGGCCCTTTTTGAAAATACAGGTAAATTCGTTCTGGCTATTTTCCGGAAAGAGAAGTTGTAACATTACCGGTAATTTGCCGGAATGCTGCGCTGTGTGAACGCAGAAGGAAGATTGCCGGAAAGAGCGTGTCCACGTCTAGAACGTGCTGACATGAGACGCCTGCTTTAGCCAATCAGAACTGTCAGACGCATTCACCTCCACACGGTTTATGAGAATAAAAGTCTTTGAATATTTTTCCAGACACATTTAGCTGCTAGATGTTAGTCAGATAACGTTTCTATGTTCCTTCTTAACGCTAACTGTGTAAATAATTATCGATAAAATGTTTATGATAATCCGTTGTTTGTTTATCTTCAAGCTTTGCGTGTGCCCGTGAGCGCCCATAGCGCCAGCACACACACATATCATGAACATCTCGACATGCGAAAGTGTTCCTCTATATGTTTTCATTGGAGTTGTAATCAATACTGATCCATCCAAAGAGTTTGTAATGCAGTCAAATGTTTACGAACACAAGCGCAGCCGTTTAGAGGTCATTTCTGGTTAATGATGTCAGAATTTACCGGCATTTTGCGATGGATGTGTAAATGCTCTTTTCCGGAAAATTTCCGTAACGTCCTCGCCTGTGTGAACAGCGCTTTTTTGAATTTACCGGTAAAGTCATTCCGGAAATTTTCCGGATATTTACCGTTATCACTGTGTGAAAGGGGCTTTTATCTCATCAGACAATCTTATTTCTTATCATCTCGGATTCCTTCAGGTGTTTTTAGCAAACTCCACTGAGGCGAAGCTTCTGTCAGGCCACTTTGCCATAAAGCCCTGACTGGTCTTTCTACAACTTTTTCCTGTCTCCCAACTCCATCACTGGAGCTCAGCCACAGTGATCTTTGGGTTCTTTTTTAATTCTCTCACCAAGGCTCTTCTCCCCTGAAAGCTCAGTTTGGCTGGTGGCCATCTCTAGGAAGGGTTCCAGTCATCCCAAACGCCTTCTATTTAAGGCCACTGTGCTCTTAGGAACCTGAAGTCCAGCAGAAATGTTTTTGTAACCGTGGCTAGATCTGTGCCTTGCCACAATTCTGTCTCTGAGCTCTTCAGGCAGTTCTTTTAACCACATGTATTAATATTATTGAATTTTTTTTTTTTTTTTTAATGTATACATCATATTAAAAAAAAGTTTCCAAAGTTTGAGCTACAGTAATATAATAGTATTATTTAAAAAAAAATTGCATGTCTTAAATGAACAGCCAAAATGGTTTTTAAAATGTATAAAAGTTAAAGAAAGAACATTTCTAAATACACCCTTAATGATTTTTCTGAACTATTTGTTTAAAGGAGGGGTCACCAAACTGTCCTGCAGATTTTAGCTCTAACCCTAATTAAACACACCTGAAGAAGCTAATCAAGGTCTTACTAGGTAGACTTGAAACAATCAGGCAGGTGTGTTGAGGCAAGTTGGAGCTAAACCCTGCAGGTACACCAGCCCTCCAGGACCGAGATTGGTGACCCCTGGTTTAAAGTGTAAGGTTGTCTGTCACTGATGGCTCTAAGCAGATTTGCCACATTATAGCTGTTCTTTTTTCCACCAAAAAAATCCTAAATTCTGGTCTCAAACTCACATTATTGGTCAACCGTGCCAAAGAAAACACAGATCAGAACCACATACTGTACAGGTGTGGGATTGACTGCAGTCTTCACATATGAAACTGCAATTTGAGAAGGCTGATGTGAAATATGTAGGACTTAGGTGTAAGAAACGGAACACTTACTGAATTTAAGGGAGATTAAACCTGTCAGGGGCGCAGAGCAAGGTTATTATAGTTTAGAATTTTTTTAATTATTATTGTTATTTTTGATACTTTTTAAAAAATGTTTTATTAATGGTTTTGTTGGTTTTAGTTTAAATTTTATTTTGTGAACACATTAATATTTAGTTTTTATGTATTTAGCTTCAATTTAGTTTTAGTAATTATAGTTAATTAGAGTTAACCTATTAACATTTTTACTTGTAATTTTAGTTTAAAATATATTTTTTCCTATTTATTGTTTTATTTCAGTTAGTTTTTCAGTGACAATTGTTAGTTTTTGTTCATTTTAGTTTTTCATTTATTGCAAATTTTTTTATTTTATTTCAGTTAACGAAAATAGTTTTTGACCAATAGTTTTAGTCTTAGATTTAGTTTTCGTTTACGTAAATTACCTTGGTACAGACTTTACTTTTTCACAACATTTATTAAGATTTGATGTAGAAACCATAGGTTTTTTTTCTTTTCTAGTTTTATAAACATTTACAAAGAAATTGTAACCTTAAAATAATCTAAAACATTAAAACAAAATTAAATCAAAATAAATGATAGCTAAAAAACGGATATGATTTTACTATCAAAAAAAATTAATTGAATGTTACTGAAAATAATAAAAAAACAAATAATGTGGCACGGTGGCTCAGTGGTTAGCACTGTCACCTCACAGCAAGAAAATCACTGGTTCGAGTCCTGGCTGGGTCAGTTGGCATTTCTGTGTGAAGTTTGCATGTTCTCCCTGTGTTTTTCGTGGGTATTCCGGTTTCCCCCACAGTTCAAACTCATGCAATATGAATTGGGGCCATAGTGTATGAGTGTATGTTTAAATGAGTGTGTATGGGTGTTTCCCAGTACTGGGTTGCGGCTTGGAGGGCATCCGCTGCGTAAAACATATTGTCACCTTAGAATTATAAAGTTCTATCTGACATTTTTGTCAAAATTTAGTTATTGACGTATTCTTATTAAACGACAACTTTTTTACATTATGGGATGTTTTTCATAAGTTGTTTACATTTAAAGACTTTTATTTACAAAAACAAATATTACACACATACTGTTTGCTATGGAATGCAAAAACTTTAAAGCTCAATATCTCAAAATCATTCAGAACGCAGATAGAACCTTATAATTCCAAGGTGACGATATGCTGGAGTAGTTGGCAGTTCATTCTGCTGTGGCGTTCCCTGATAAATAAAGGACAATTCTATATGTTGACTTGCACTTTGGTAGATTTGCTCTTCAGTGATTGAACTTTAAGAAGTAAAAATTTGAACCACACTAAACTAAACTGAACTTCAGCTCTGAAATCTGGACGTTGCTAAAACCATGTTAAGCTGCTTTGACACAATCTACATTGTAAGAAGCGCTATATAAATAAAAATAAATAGAATTGAACTATTTGAAGGAAAAAGAATCAATGAATGAAAACTAATTAAAATGACAATGCAAGTGTAAAATACAGTATATAAACAACTTCAATCTTTATTGTCAGTGTTAATAAAAATGCACTGAAACAATCCTTGTTTTATTAAAACATATTTATACATAAATGTTTAAAAAAAAGAGATCACACCAGTTCATCTTCTACTTCAGTTCAATTGACAGTGGTTTACTATAAATCCTTTCATAACAGTTTTTAAATTAAATCGAAAGCCATTTGATTGTAGTCAGACAGGAATACTGATAAATGGTTAAACTGGCAAAGAAAGGTAGCAATAAAAACGAACAAAAGACTGACGGTGAAAGTCGTTAGTCAGATAAAGATGCATTGCTTTACTCAAACAGCTTCAATGTGACTCCTGCTTCTTCTGTCAAAGCTACACACTGTAGCTCAATGGCCACTGGAAGAGCACACGACTAAAAGGAGGTCACATTCTGCAAGCCGCCTCCGCTAATAGAAAGCAGGACCACCAAAAAAAGCAGGTCAACGTGTCTGGAAGTGATTTGACTGTGCACTAAAACAAAACACACATCCCCATACACACACACACACGCACGCACATTGGTATTGGTGGTTTTTGAAGACACCCATTTGCTTATATTATGACCTTACCTCTTAACCCAACCCTCACAGAAAACTTGTGACACATTTAAATGTCAAAAGACTTAAGTGTCAAGTCTGACATTTAAGCATTTTAAATTACAATGCAGCAGGCACACAACGTCATTAGATGTTAATATTAGGTTAGAATTAGGTCGTGACGTCAAATGACATTGATATTTTGTTGATTTTAGGTTGTGTTGGAGAGAGACCAAGATCCAACATCTT